ACAAGTAGGGACCTCCACCACTGATTGTGAACTAACGACACACACACAAGTAGGGACCTCCACCACTGATTGTGAACTAACGACACACACACAAGTAGGGACCTCCACCACTGATTGTGAACTAACGACACACACACAAGTAGGGACCTCCACCACTGATTGTGAACTAACGACACAGACAAGTAGGGACCTCCACCACTGATTGTGAACTAACGACACACACACAAGTAGGGACCTCCACCACTGATTGTGAACTAACGACACACACACAAGTAGGACCTCCACCACTGATTGTGAACTAACGACACACACACAAGTAAGGACCTCCACCACTGATTGTGAACTAACGACACACACACAAGTAAGGACCTCCACCACTGATTTTGAACTAACAACACACACAAGTAAGGACCTCCACCACTGATTGTGAACTTACGATACAGACAAGTAAGGACCTCCACCACTGATTGTGAACTAACGATACAGACAAATAAGGACTTCCACAATTGTGAACTAATAATAGACATGATGCTACATTGAAAACATTAATTAAAGTAACTATGAATTTGCTACAAAGATAATTTCTAGCACTTAACATTTTAATAACCTAAACTCTTTTTAAGATGTTGTATTATTAAGTTTTCAGCAGAAATAAATGGACTAATGTCAAAAAACTTGTATGCAACTAAGATTTGGAACTTTCCAACATAACAATTTTCTATGGTTCAAGCAACATATGAGTGCTATCTGAAATTCAAATGTTCACACTAATACAGCTGTGTGCGAGTGTGTGTGTGTTTTAACTCTTTAATACCTTTACAGAGAAGTGTTTGTTTCACACTTGTATACACATGTACACATCTATCCTAAGTAAAGATTTGTTTAGTGCAAAGTTACATAATATACACAATTGGATAATTGTAATGTGACACAGGAATCAAACCCTGAATTCAGCATTATAAGGCCACAAGCTTATCACTGCACTATTAGGATGACCTTAAACCTAGAGAAAAAAAACACATTGACAATGACAAAACATATACACTAGCACAGCTTGAACATTATGAAATATTTATTATTTTGAGAGGTAGGTAGAGAAAGAAGTGGATCCACATTGTGATATGGATATACTGTATCACATTAAACCACCATTAATGAACCTCACATACTGCATAGAATTAGATGTAACAGCAGAAACTGGTACTCATGACTCTAAAAACCTTTTACAATTATGTTTTTATGCCAACAAAACTCAAACAAACTGTAATGTATAGTTATTTCTAGTATAGTATTCAATTTTTTTTTAATACATTCTTGGTTTAATATGAATACAACATACCCAACTTCTCTTCCAGCTATAGAATAATAATCACAGATATTAGTTCAGAAACAAAACAATGACACAAGAACTACATGTTTAGCTGAATAAAAAATACATTAGAAACACCACAGTGACAAGAACTGTTTGACTGGCTGTTAGCTCAGAAACACCACAGTGACAAAAACTGATTGATTGGCTGTTAGCTCAGAAACACCACAGTGACAAAAACTGATTGATTGGCTGTTAGCTCACAAACACCACAGTGAAAGAACTGATTGATTGGTTGAATAAATGTTTCTCAATTTTGATACATGGATTTTGTAAGATTAAAAAAAATAACAATTAGCAGATTATGAATATAACTCAAATTAAAAAGGTTTTGTACATTTGTAAAGTACCTCTAGATAGATATCTATATACAAATTTTCTTAATCAGTAAACAACTATAATTTGTGAAACAAATCTAGAACACTTAAAATTAATTTTATATTTCATTCACTGGTCTGTAAAGATAATCAAAATACAATGAAATTAAATTTGAAAAATATGAAATAAAAGGAGTAACAGCTTTTTTTCTATGCAGTGTTAATCAGAATGTTCTAAATTATTTATCCTTTTCATGTCTGTTTTCTTTTATACTTTTAATGCAAGGTGTGACAGGAGGGTCTAACTTTCTATTCAATAGCTCTGTAACCAAACAAAATTGAAAACTAAAAATTATAGTTGGTGTAAGCAATGATGATTTTATAGAGAGTAATTTACATTTAATTTTGTACTTTTTTGAGGGGTGGTGGATAAAATAAGATGACACGCTAGAAGAAAATGTGTCACACTAGGGGAAATTCAGGATTTTTGTTAAATATTGCCTTGTAGAATTAAGAACTTTAAACTTATACACTATTAAAATATGGATTATTAGCTAAGATTTTATGATATTTTAATTGGTATAATATAA